AAATAATTGTTTGATAATATAAAAAAAATATATTTTAATAAAAATTAGATATGGTTTTTACTTTTAATTTTTTGTTTCGCCAATGACTTCAATAATTTTGATTTTTGTCAAGGGTTTTGACTTTTGTCAAAGGTTTTGACTTTTGTCAAAGGTTTTGACTTTTGTCAAGGGTTTAGTCTTTCATCATTTTTTAGTGATTTGATGAAATAGTTTCTCAATTCCAAAAACATTTCGTCATACATCATTAGTTATCACTACTGTTATTTGATCATTATTATTGTTATTATTATTTATTAATATTAAACAAAGATATGAATTATTGGATTTCATCACGTGATTTTAATTTTGACGACCAATGATAGAATGCTCAAAAATTAAATTCCTAGAATTTTATTTTATTTTTATCCTATACTCAGAGTCTAACTGATGAGTTAGTATTTTTTTTTTAGAAAAAATATTACTTTTTTTTATCTTCATTATATCAATAGGTTATGTTATATATAGAAATTCTACATGTGTAAAATTAATTGTGTTACTATCTGATTTTAATGATAAGCCAATTACCTCATGGTTACATACATATATTTTTTTTTTGTATATACTTTAATCCCAAGAAATTCACTGTGATTATTTTTTTCAAATATTACAATGTTGGGAGAATATTATCGTGGTTATACATGTAAGTTCTAATTGTGTGGTGTTTCAACTTGCCCTTTCTTTTAGCTACAGTACTTACTAATAAACAAGCCTCTTCAGCCGTTTGTACTTATATAAAAAGACGTAATGATAAATGTTCATTTAGTGAGTTTATAGACCTTTATCAGGGAATAATTATAGATTCTTCACCGAATACTGATGACTGGAGTGGTTTAGAGTCGACATGGCAAAGAAGATTCTTAAGAGCTGTAAAGGATATTATTCCAGATAAGTATGATGATATATTTGCAAAGGTTCTGTATTTATGTTTTATAAAATTTTCTAAAGTATAAGCGAAGGGGGCTCCTGGTTGGTTGTCGTACTGATCAGGGGTATTCGGTTGTCGTACTGGCCCAAGTGATGGTAGTTGCGCTTCTGATTGATCGTCGTATTGATCTTGAAGTATCTGGTTGTCGTACTGGGCACTACCATTGCGACTTTCTTCTCCGACTTCGTTATGACATTTATAAAAACATTTTACTAATTAATTACTTTTTCTGCTATAGGTGAAATTGGAAACGTCGAAAAAGTCTTTAATGGATTATTGGCAAAATATTATCAATGAAAAAGGACAAGTAAGTTAAGACATAATTTCACTTGTTTGTTTCCTTGCCGGTATATTTAGATTAATTTCGTTCATTATGCTTGTGATAAATAGATTTCTGTAATAAATAATCATATATTTGGTAGTCTAAAGATATTGGATGTAACGGCTAAGCGTAACACAGACACAATCATTTCAAAAGTCTCAAATCATAGTTTGTATAAAGATCAAATAGGAGAAAAAGTAAGTTTCTCAAATTTTAAGCAAGTATAATAAATAAACTTAAATATATTGCGTATAAACACAATCTTCATGAATTTATTACTAAATGGAAAAAAGAGCCCATTAGATCTTGAGAGTGTTGATAATAGTGACATTGCAGATACTACTACCCGTTATGGAAAACGTTCCTCAGAATTGATGTCAAATGTTGTTTTAGCTGATTCTAAAAGAAGCAAGGTATGCATATAAAAATACAATTTAAAGATAATATTTAGCTTACAAAAATATCATCTTGCATTTTCCTATGTATGCAGATAGAAACCAATAATTGCAATGAAAACACAGGATATGATTCAGAATCAGAGGAGAGTGATCAAGAAGAGATTGAAGAAGTGCAAAATTATGAAGAAATCATGGGTCTTAAAGAGGTATTTTGGCATTTGCTACCTTTTATGTACAATAATTGTATTCACTCCTTAATTTTCTAGCGGTCACATGAAAAGGACAGGGGACAGGGATCTGCAAATTTCGCCTGTACCCTGTCCTTTTCTAAATTTCCCTATCA